TTCATTCCTCCTTGTTGATGTTTTTGTTTTGCTTAGTTTCGCTTTGTTTTGTTTTGTTTTTCTTTTCTTTTCTTTGTTTTTCTTTGTTTAGTTTTGTTCCCCACCCCCCACTCCCCTGAGCATGCTGGCGCGTTGCTTTTCGGGGCGTTTTGTGCAGTGGCAGTGGCTCCCAGAACAGGTGGCGTCCGCCCGGTGTGGCCCAGTTGGCGCCCGGTGGGCGGGGCCCAGATGGCGTCCGCCCCTCAGGTGGCGTCCGTTGCGGCCCAGGTGGCGTCTGGTGGGGCCCAAGAGGCACCCACCTGTCGTTTGGGCCCAGGTGGTTTCTGTTGAGACCCAGGTGTAGCCTATCGGGGCCCAAGTGGCGCCCAGTGAGGCCCAGGTGGCGTCCGCCTGTCGAGTGGGATCCAGGTGGCGTCTGGTGAGGCCCGAGTGGCGTCCGCCCGTCAGGTGGCGCCCGCCCGCCCGCCTGTTGGGGCCCAGGTGGCGTCCACCTGTCGGGTAGGGCCCAGGTGGTGTCCGCCCGGCTAACAGGGGGCCCAGGTGGCAGCCGGTGAGGCTCAGGTGGCGTCCGCCTGTCAGGTGGCGTCCAGTGAGGCCCAGGTTGCGTCCGGTGGGCGTGGCCCAGGTGGCGTCCAGTGAGGCCCAGGTGGCGTCCGGTGGGCGTGGCCCAGGTGGTGCCCGGCGTTGGGAGCTGCCCCTCCTGCACACAGCGCTGGTTTAGGCTGCTGCATGTGTCAGAGCAGCATAAACCTCACCGTCATGCCTCCATTGGCTCCTCTTATTTATCCCCCCTCCCACCTGCCCCCCCCTCTGCATGACTCATCTGTTTACCGACCAATCAGACGGGTCCATCAGCCCTCGGCTGGTGGGGTCTGGGGGGCCCTTGCTTTCAGAACTGACTCCAGATTAGCTCTCAGACCCAGATGGCGGTTGCCGTGGCGTTGCCGTGGCGCTGGGCAGGCTCCGCCCCCTCCATCCTTCACCCCCCGGTCCGCTTGCCGTCGGTCTCTGTCCTCCATCTTGTCTCCGCTCAGTTTTAAGGACT